TTCGAAACCCTCTTCCAAGGACAATGTGGGTTGAGCATATATTCATTCGAAAAAGGTGAAAGTTTGAATCAATTTCCAATGCATCAAAGTGACATCTATGCCATTGTATTGCAGCAGATGAACAGCGACAGCTGCTGTAGCCTGACTCGGTTAGTTGCTAAAGATTTTTTTTTGTTCCTGAGGCGGCCGCACAGCGATTAGTCGTTTGGACCAATTTTTTGCACAAAAAAAAAAAAATTAAGGAAATACCAATTTACTCACGCCTGCAAAGCTCACACTTGTGCCCTGTAGGAAAACATTCTCAATGTTTTATGAATTACAAAAAAATATTTCAATTTCTCATAAGAAAAATAAAATTAATAAAAATATCTCCAACTGTGGACTGCTCTCCCATAAAACTTATGATTTTTTGTATCAATTTCTTTTTTACTGCTCTGCATGTCTGCTGCCCTAAATAAGGAGCATTTAATTGGCACAGAACCAATCATTTTAGCATCGAGTTACCGCTGTTTATGAAATTAATGAGATTGAAAAAAGTGATAGAATTCTATTGCATAATACTAAAAAAATATTCCCTTCAAGTAATCACACGTAAAAATATGTGGAATATTTTTTCTTTAGTACAAAAACCAAAAACAACGTCGTTAGCCGCCGCTAAAATTAAAAGAGCGGTGGTCACACAGCAAAGATTGTCTCTTAAGTATAAAAATAAATATGTTTACATACTCGTATGTACTCGTATGTTTGTACTTGCATATGAGTATTCTTTATAATTTCATTTTTTATACATTTTAGTCGGTAATTTTTGTTTGTATAATTTTACAGTCAACACTGATTATGTGGAATGTGGTAAATGATTATTGCTTGACAGTCTTTGCTTGGCTGTGTTCTGGCAAAGAAGTGATAGAGCAAACACTGAAACGATGAAATTTTCAAGACTTTTGCCCTTCAAGGGGAAATATTGGTATAGTAAAAAGTAGTCCATTATTTTTGAATTAAATTGAAGGTATTTGAAGCATTATTTGTCATAGTTGAATTAACCGATTTATGTCAAATATGCACACTTTTGCTCATAAATGGTTTGTCAATTTGCATGTAGTGTCATTGTGCTGAGATAGTCGATTTTCACCGACTTATCTTGAAGCAATTTCTTCAGTAGTCAAATCCTTCGCCATCGGTATGCACTTGGTGTGAGGTTAGGAATATAAGGTGGATGGATTAGAATTTCTTAACGAAGCTGTCGGCGTTTATAGCGATACACCATCGATGTGTGTGGTCTGCCGTTGTCCTGTTGAAACCCAATTCCCCAACTGTTGACCAACTGATTCTGGGTGTTTGATTCATTGAAACTCCCTCTTCAATCACACTAAACACACAACAAATCCTTCCTGACCGTCAATGCTGGTTTGGTGATCGTTTGTGTCGGCGCACTGTTCTTAGATCACGATCGTTTTCGTTTGAGGCTGCTGTAACTGATCCACTTTTCACCACCAGTCATCATCCACTTCTGAATCACAGATGGAAACTCGTTCCACGAGGTTTTTGCTTGTTAATTGATGTGGCACCCAATCTTTTTCAAGTGGTCTCAAATTGTGTTTTTGTGCAATGAGTAAGCTCAAGTCAATGGAAACACTGATCGCATGACAGTCTGACTCAATAGCCATTTCTTTATCGATATTTTCGATAATCCACGCCGTGGAACATCTTTTATATCCAAATTAGCGGAACAAAATCGACGAAACCAAAATTATGCCTGATTGACTGTTACAGTAGTAGTCCATCTTTGACATGCGCTCAAACTCTACCGAGTTGAGTAATCAACATTTCTCCCTTTATATTATTAGTACAAAATATCATCTTTCTAATGCCATCTAGTGTAATCCAATCGCATTTATAGAATCGGGCATATAGATCACTAATTTTTACTTTTCACTAAATCTAATTGGCGCTTGTAACCTCTGAAGCATATTTCGGCCGAACTCCTTCTTAAATTTTTGGTTTTAAGACTTGATGTTTTTCCAAAAATTGATCGAATCAGACCTCGAACCTGACCTTCCGAATCACAGTACGTTTGCTAACCACTCCACAATTGTGGCCGTCTAGTTAATAACGGTCATAAAATATGCAATTGAAACAACTATTGTATTTCAATGATAAATAAACACGTTCGGTACATACATATAACAATTGAATTCTTTTACAAAACCTTTTGGATAAATACAATTACGAACTCATGAAGTATATTTACGTGAGATTTCAAGAATTTTCCCTTCCTATTCTACTCAAGTGCAATAAAGTAATCAAATACGCTGTAGATAAATATAAGTAGATAGTATTACAGTTAACAGTCTATTACTGTGGTTTCTTGCGGTAATGTCGAAATAATAATATTCCATGAATTGGGTTGTGCTTTGGGCTGGGCAGAAGGGAGGGGGCGCTATTTAGCCCTAACCTATATTTTATTAAAAAAATAATGGAATTATGAGGATTGTTGTATAAAGTGAATATTCATTGAAAAAATATATTATATATGTATTCATCAATTACTATTTTATCCTCCATAGCCACTATGCTACGGCGTTCGAAGAAAGCATTGAGCAAAACTTAGACCTTTGCTCGAATTTGTTTTGTTTTTATTGGTCTTGGGGTCTTCCAATGGTAAGATTATCGCTAGCGATCGTTAATGTTCATCGTCACTTTCATCGCTTCGTTTTTGTTTAGGTATTATGAACAAGCAACTTTGTGAATTGAGTAGACGCGGAAACCCTGTACATGGAAAATTTTCTGTTGTTTTTGGGCAGAGGTGGTCATACGGCATTAATTTTTTGCCAATAACTTCTAAATTCTCTTTTAAAATTTTTTGGTTAACGCTTTTTTGGAAACTCCTAGAATAATGATACGCGTTGGGGAACGACAAGAATCTCAAATTGAACGCTTGTCGTTATGTGCTTTAATTTCTGCATCATCTATTACGTTAAAGCATCATAGGTAAAATGATTGACGATAAGAGACGTTAAGAAACGATAATAAACGACAGAAAACGATGGCGATAACTCGTCTGACGATACTGTTGGGGATGGCGTTGAACGGCATACCAATGCTACCTTATCGTAATTTTCACTGACGATGACGATGCCTTACGCTGAATGGCAGACTCTTTTGTTTTCGATATATTAACGGAAGAATTCGTGTGACAAGTTATTCGACGCATTCCTTTCACTATTAGCCTCACTTTCTCAACATTTTCACGGGCTATTCATTTGTTGAGGGGCGTCCGTGAGAAGCTTTCACCACTTGGAAACATTTTTCTTTCTTGACTTGAGAGTACCCCATAGTGTGTCATTATTAACATTTATAGTGTTTTCAAGAATTTAGTTCTTTTGTTAACACAAAAATTTATGTATTTGTTTTGATTTTTTTTCGATTTCAAATTTATTATTCTCAGCAAAAAACTAAACATGCCAAATTGAAACTCCTCTATATCTTTGAACAGACCTCGTATTAGAGTTTAGGTAATTTTCGGTCGAGCTTATAACATTCATTCCTAAGCCGATTTCATTGATTCGGGCAGGTCAAGCTATGACTTTAATTCGAATCTACAAGTTTCGGTTTTGCATTACGCACTTATATATATATAATTGGTGCCTTGTAACAGCAGGAGCGATTTTCGGCTGAGTTCCTCCTTTAATTGGTTCTTTTGCATCTTGATGTTGATTTAATAAATGCAGTTTATACTAAACTAAAACTTTTTTTATGAGGAGCTTTCTATTTCATGTCCGAGATACGCTGGGAGACGTTGAAATTCTCTGACGAGGGACGATTGCAAATTAGAAAATTTAATTTATTTTTTTATTTAAATTAATATTCTATAACTTTTGGATGGTGGTCGTACCAAGATTTGAACTCGAGGTACGCGATGCTAACCAATCGGCTACCGCGGCCACTTCAATATATTTTGATAAAACGACAGTAATCTGTAAATAAATAAATATAAAAGTGTTTTAGATCAAACATCCTAAATGTCGGCAACGTTTTAAATAAAACATCCTAAATGTAGGCAACGTTTTAGGTTTTATTTTTATTTTTTAAATTTAAACGTTGAATACATTTAGGAATTAATTTTTGGGAGAATACTCGAGGTATGATTAATACCATATATATGTAATAAAGCTCAAGACTTTGTTTGAACATTTCTGAGTAGATCGGAAATTTTAGGAACGAGTACTCGTATTTTCTGCCACGAGTTCGTTCGTGAGCATTCTGGATATCTGGCTTTAGTATGTACCAAATATAATGGAAATACTACCCGTAAAAGGTTTACCGCAAATTAGCTGAAGTTAAGATGTTCTAATGTCTAGTGTTCACGTATAATAAATCTTGATTGTCACCCGTAATTTTAATTGCAAATTTATTACACTTTCAAACAATTAATACTTTTTACTAATTCATATAATTTCTTTTCATCTATTTTTCGGTTTTGCTGCTCGGCTGGTTTTACTTGCTCTGCTACTGGTTTGTATGACGCTATACATATGTTCGACTGCGCTACTTAAAAACGCTTCAAACAACATGCTCGAACTATATACACGTATTATTGTATGTATGTACCACAATCAACACGCTGCCAAATCCACGAACAAATCAAAATATAAATAAATCATTTGGATTCGCTAAACAATGTACAATATGTACATATGTATTTATGTATAACAATTTGGCGAATATTCACTCAACATCTGGTTGCACTTACCATTGATTTTGTTGTTATTACCGGTGTTACTCAATAATACTAAAACCGAAAATATTTATTGTATTTTTCCTACAATACGCTCGGCGGAATTTATTTATTTCGGCTGCTGGCGCTCTCATGCCAATTTTCTTTTTTGTTTGCCTCTTGGCCTGTGGCATATCGGATGTTGGCGTACTCACCATATATACAAACAAACACACATATATACATAAATATATGTGTTTTTAAATGTGGTGCTTTCTAAATTTAGGGCACCACCAATAACAGAAGCAGCAAACAGCAGCGGTAGCAGCAGCTAGAAACAAAACAGAATCCTCAGTGTCGCAACAGTGTCGGTACGAACGAACGCACGAGAGAGCAACGTGCTGTGGAGGAGAACGAATTCGATGTGCAGTAAATGGCCAGAGATATTTATTTCTGTTGAACGAGAGTTGCGTAAAGCTCGTTGATGTGTTAAGGAAATTGAAGAAAATTGTTGGATTGCATACTTAATATAATTGCAGCCATTTGCCAGATATTGTTTGATCATCATTCATTGTTGTTAACCGTGGCAGCTTGTATAACGAAATAGATTTAGTGAAACAAGTTAAGCAAAACGAGAAGAAGGCTTCACTTGTGCATGCGATCAAAGTGAGCTACGTGAGAACTGCTACAATAAAAAAAAGCAGAATTGAAAAAAGGAAAGAAAAAATATAGCTACAAAAACATTTGTTATTAAGTAATATATATAAAAGTGGCTAGAAATTAATGCTCTCTTGATTACCGCATCTCATAATAATAGCAACAACGACGACGAGTTTAAGTAGCGCTACGTCGTAGACCTTTGACGAGCGGCTAAAAGTAGAGGCTTTACGCACACATAAACATATAAAGAAATGGATTCACTTAAAATTCCAAAAGGTAATAAATAGTTTTATGCACCAAATGTTTGGATATTCTAACCAATTAATAGCCAAATAAATCCACTGATGTTAATTATTTACTAACAGATTTTCTTTTTTTTTTTTTACTTTGCAGGTGGCAGCAGCAATGCGGCTGGTGGCGGTGGCGGCAAGCCTACTGGCAGCGTACCAATCACTGTTCGTTTTAATGCCGGCGATGAATGTATCGATGATATCTTTCAGTCATTTCACAATAGCAACAATAGTGGTAGTGGCGCGGGTGTTGTTGGTGGTACCGGTGGCAATGGTAGTGTAGGTGGTGGCGGCGGTGGTGGTGGTGGCGGAGGCCCGAATGCCGGTGGTGGGGATTCCCTATCGAGTAGTCCATCACAACATCATCAGCTGCAGGCACAGCAAAATGTAAGCGTACAGTATTATACATATGCACATATGTATGTGTGTATACATACATGTATACATTATAAAATGTCTACTTTTATGATGTGGTGCCTGTTGGTATATAGTGTTTTTGTGAGAATTGTTTAGTTATCTTTGAATCACTATTATATTTTTATTATTGTTTATTTAATAGCGGTTAAAATGTTTGTACAGTTCGAAGTTATAAGCAAGTAGTACTGGAACTCGCTAAATTGTTCAGTACACATTTTCACGCAAGAAAAGTTTGAGTATTTCACACTTTTTTGTTCAAAAATCTTAACTTTTTTCTATGCACTTATTAAAATTAACTTTAAATTTATTTGTGAATAGTGTTGAAATTCTAGAAATGCTTATGTTGAAAAGCGAAAGTTCAATTTTTTTCTGCTGTTCGAATTGTCCAAAAGCTCGAAAACTGCGAACAAAAATTTCAGCGATTCTGCAATGAAAAGATAAAGTATCGAGTTGGTCGCGCTGCCCTAGCATGTATGTAGATGGTTGACCGGGCAATTTTTGTAGTTAAATGGTTATATAATTTTCCTGCAGTGATTTTTGACCGAACTCCACCTCCAATTTGGAATGTGCGTCTTGTTGTTTCCCCAGCAAATGGATGGATCTAAAGTTTATTCCAAGCCACCTCGAAACGGCTAATGGAATTTTATGGGTAGCCTTTTTCTCAATTCCTGCCGGTGAGCGACCGTAATTAGTAAAATTAATTTTCTATAACATCGGATGTTGGTCGGATGATTGATTATTATGTATTCTTTTATAATTTTCACTTTGAGCAGCTTTTGTTTCATCACGTATCCTTTTGTTTAGCTACTCGCTCTCCTTATCTTCTTCTACTTCTTCTTTAGTGGCGTTGGCACCGCTTACGCGTTTATGGCCGAAGTTCATCTCTTCTTTTCGTTTTCGCAGCCAGTTGGAAATACCAAGTGAAGCCAGGACACTTCATCTGATCCTTCCTCTCCTTATCTAAGAGAGATAAATGATCGGATTCGACAATGAAGTTATTTCATTCAAGTTATTCATTACCCCCGATTTATCTTAAGCATCAAAAGCGCCCGCGGAACATATGAAAATTAACATTGAATTCATTTTAAATATCGTATGCACTATGAATGCACATACATTGGCACTATACGTACGAGGTGTGTTCAAAAAATATCGCGAATTTTGTGTTTTTTCAAAAATTATTTATTTATACATGAATATCTATTTTGTCCCCTTCAAAGTAATCCCCATGAGATACCATACACTTGTGCCAACGGTTTTTCCAATCTTCGAAGCACTTCATAAAATCATTTTTTGTTTATCTTGTTCAGCTCCTGCTTTGATGCCGTCTTTATCTCGTCAATCGTAGCGTAATGTCATCCGTTCATGGGCCTCTTCAGTTTAGGTAACAAGAAAAAGTCACAAGGGGCCAGATCTGGGGAATACGGTGGCTGCGGCATCATTTACAAACGTTGCTTCGGCCCAAAGTAGCTTCTCCGTATGCCACAGTCAACATTCGGAATGTATCCAGACACTTAATTTCGTTTTTCACACAATATTTGATACAGGTTCTTTGATCCATTTTTTTATTGAATAGGTAAAAATCGAAGACCATCCAAAACACGTGCAAGCAACACAGCTGTCAACAATTAAGTAAACATTCAAAATGGCCGAGCTTGTCGGCATAAGTGACGGACATGAGTACCAACATAACGCCACAAAAAAATCGAAATTCGATTATACGTAACCCGCGAAAATCTAAAATTCGCGATACTTTTTGAACACACCTCGTACACACATATACAATTGTATAATATAAAAGTATATTTCGCGCTCTATAACCGCTGAAGCGATTTTTGAACCAAGCTCCTCCTCTCATTGCGTCTTGATGTTTTCAAAAAAACCAAAAAAAAAAACAAAAAAAAAATAGAACGACATACAGCTTATTCCAAGCCACCTCCAAACGGAGATTTATTTATTTATTAGAAATATGTCTAGGGGTAGATGACAGTTTTTGAAAATTATTATTTTTCAATAGGTTTTGGATGCTGATTTAGCTAGTGTTCTAACCCATGACTTTCCGCATGCAAGTCCGCACTTCTTATCTTTTGACAAAATGCAGTAGACGACAATAAAGCTCGCTGTGTAACCCTTGTACCAAGAATAACAAACACTCCATGAAATAACACAAAAATGCAATTTAATATTCGTACATTTTGCAAATTTGCTGAAGTTGCTTAAACTGCTGTTAAAATATTTCAGTTGAAATTATGTACAGATGAGCGCTCTTGCTGTTAATTTTTTCTAAATTCCTTAAAGACTTTATTCCAACAAATATTTGTTTATAGAATAAATAAAAAAATAGGTTGTTCTGCCTGCCTCCTAAGCAACTCTTCGTTGCAGAATTTATTTGGTATCAATCCATGGTTAGTGTCATAAAAAAATAAAAATTCATTCTCCCGCTTTCGTGAAAAATGCTAATATTGCAATTTAATAAACTATTTATTTATGACTCCATTTATTGATCCACGACAAAAGGCCCTTTGCACGATTACAATTTTAATATCTGCACGAAATCGCCCAGCGACTGCCGCGGCTGGCTGCATTGCAGTTTATTTCAGTTTTCGTTGGCATTCGTGCAAAACAAGTTGACTTTAATACTGTTTCATATCGCAATTTCTGGCTGCCGGTTGAGTTTAGCTGTTTCTACACAATCTTGAATGCATTAATATATACAATAAAATATTATATGTGTAAATGTGTGTTTATGTGTAGAGAGCACAAACGTGCTATATCGCGAGTGAGTGAGTCATATGTAGAATATAAAAAAATTCTTTAAAGCAATATTTTACATTAGTTCACGAAATTCTTCTGCAACGTTTTTCGGAAATATACAAGAAGGTTGGTTTGCATTCTTGTTTATTTATGTGTTTAAAAAGAAATTATTTATGTATTAATTTGTTGTGCCAAATCGTGCAAAGAATAAAGTATAAATATGTGAATTCTTATTTTGAGTTTGAAACTCTTTTCTTCGAAATTTTATTTATTTGAAAATTCTATTATTACAATACTGTGTTCAGAGAAAAAAACTTTAATATACCACGAATTCTTGTGTGTGATATTACAGAAATTCCCTTGTGGTTCAGCTAAAATTGCATATTCAAGCAAAAGCGTTCAAGAGTTTCCTTGAATCTAATTTGTTTAAATCGGATTTTTAATTTTTATATTTTTTTAATTTGATTTAATTCTTATTTTTATATTATTTTTGTTCTCTTTTTGTTTTTCATTTTATTTTGTTACATTTTGTTTTTATTTTATTTATTACATTTTTTAAAAAAAATTTTTTATTTTTTTTTATTTTTTTAAATTTTCTTTTTATTTTCTTTTCTTTTGTTTTTGTTTTATTTTTATTTTAAATTGAAACTGGTTTGCCGATACTAGGCCAATAAAAACAAAATATATTAGTTATTTCGTCTACTCCTCAGTAAGCGTCTTCAGGGTAACGTGGAGTTTTGTACTAACAGTCATTCAGTTTACAAATATTTCAATTTCATTGATCTCAAGCCGACAAACGAGTTTCGATTTTAAACAAAAAAGTAGCTCGCCAAATACAATGAAAATATTTTATTTTTAAATAAATTTTTTTATGTGTAATTTGGTTTTTTTATTTAAGTTTAGTTTATTTTTCAGCTCAATTGAATTTTAGTTTGTTTTTATTTTATGGTTTATAGAATTATATTTGAATTGATTTTATATTAATGTATTTCATTTATTTTTTATATTTCTTTATTTTATTTTACTTCACTTTATATATTTAATTTTTCTTATTTTGCTTGATATTTCACTTTAAATTATTATTTTATTCTGTTTTATTTAATTTTACTTTTCTTTATTTCTTAATTTTTTTAATTATTTTAAATTTACTTTAGATTATTTTTTATTTTAAAAAAAGTGTTTTTTATTTACTTATTTATTAATGTATTTATTTTTGTATAATATTTTCATTATTTTTTCTTTATTTTGTGATATTTTACTTAACTTTACTTTAATATTTTATTATTTAGCTTATTTTTATTTTAATTTTACACATTTTATTTAGTTTTAATTAATTTTTTTTGATTCATTTACATGTTTGTTTATTATTTTATTATGGTTCACTAATTTTATTTTAATTTATCATATTTTGGTTTACTAATTCTTTATATTTAATTATAATTGGTGTATTTAATTTTTTTTTTTGTTTTATTTAAATTAAATTTATTTATATTAATTATTCTATTTTATTTAATATTTATTTAAATTTTATTGAATTTAAATTCAATATTTTTACTACAAATTTAGTGTTGCTTAGGTAATTATTACATTTTATTTTGATTTCAATTAAAATTAAGATTCTGTGTAAACACGTTAAGCGTTTCATACAACATAAATTTCTACATAATTATGTGTGGGTTAAGCATTTTCCTCGATTTAATGAGCAACACGTCAACTCAAACGCGTGTCTGTAGTATTTCTTTTTATTTTTTACTCGTGTCTCCTTTTATTGCAATACATTATATTGGCAAGCAAATAAATAAAAATAAATGCAATATACAAGCTTGCATGTTCATTTGGCACATGCGCTGCAAATCTTTGTTGGCTGGTGTTTTACAAAGCAATTAAAATAATTGATGAGTAGTGAAATATTTTTTTAATTGCAAAACAAATTAAATGTGCTCGTGTGCTGTTTCCGAAAAAAGGTGTCTTTTGCTGCCATAAAACTAGATTTACTGCTCTCAGATATATATGTACATAGATATGTAGGCACACACTCACTTAAACATTATTTAAATTAATTATTTTTTATTTAATTTATTCAAATTTTATTTAATTTCATATTCTTAATCTTTTTATATTACTATTCAATCTTTTTTTCTTATTTCATTTTATTTCATTTCATTTCATTTTTTTTTATTTTATTCAATTTATTTAATTAATTTTACTTCATTGTATTTCATTAATTCATTTCTTATTTCATTTTATTTTAGTTTTTAAAGTTTATTTAATTTAATTTTATTTCAATTCATTTTTTTATTTTATTTTGTTTTTGTTTATTTTATTTTAGTTTAATTTAATTTATATTCTTTTTTTTAATTTGATTTACAATTTTATTGTAATTAATGTTATATTTTTAGTTTAATTTTAATTTATCACCTTTAATTTTATATAATTTTAATTCATTATGGGATCTTATTATTTAATTTTATTTCTTTCATGTAATTTAATTTTGCTTTATTTTATTTTATGTTATTTTATTTTATGTTATTTCAAATTAGTTTAATTTATTTTATATTCCTTTTTTAATTTCATTTACAATTTTATTGTAGTTAATGTTAAATTTTTAGCTCAATTTTATTTTATCACATTTAATTTTATTTAATTTTAATTCATTATTGTATGTTATTATTTAATTTTATTTCTTTCATGTAATTTAATTTTGCTTTATTTTATTTTATGTTATTTTATTTTAGTTAATTTGCTTTAATTTCATTTTTTAATTTAATTCAAATTTTATTTAATTTTAATTCATTATTGTATGTTATTATTTAATTTTATTTCTTTCATGTAATTTAATTTTGCTTTATTTTATTTTAGTTAATTTGCTTTAATTTCATTTTTTAATTTAATTCAAATGTTTATTGTAATTAATGTTATATTTTTGGAATAATTTTATTTTATCGCATTTAATTTTAATTCATTGTTGGATGTTATTATTTAATTTTATTTCTTTAATGTAATTTAATTTTGTTGTATTTTATTTAATGTTATTTAATTTAATTTGCTTTATAATTTGTTTTTTTTTTTCGGCCATGCTATATATTAATTGTTGTTTAATTTTTTTGTATTAATTTAATGTAGTTTATTTTAATTTATTTTGCATTTTTATTGCAATTAAAGCTATATTTTCAGTTTAATTTTAATATATCACATTTAATTTAAATTCATTATTTTATTTTATTGTTATTTAATTTAATTTAATTCAATTGAATTTTATTTTGTTTCATTTTATTATTATTTGTTTTATTTAATTTAATTTAGTTTAACTTTATTTCATTTGATTATTATTTATTTCATCTTTTCTAATTTCTTTTAGCATAATTTTATTAAATAAAACCGGATTTAAATTATAATATATTATATATTTTTTTTCAAAGTAAATCTATTTATTTATTTTATTTATTTAATTTTATTTTTATTTTATTTAATTAAAAATTGTATTTAATTTTTTTGATCATATTGTATTTTAATACCTAACATTTTTTATTTAATTTTATCTTTATTATTATTATTATTATTATTATATTTTCTTTATTATTATCTTTGTTATTATTATTATTTTTATAATTTAATTTTATTGAATTAATTATTTCATTTATTTTCTTATTTATTTTAATTTCTTTATATAATTTAATTTTTATTGTATTTTATTTCCTTTTATTATTATTATATTTATTATTTTATTATTATTTTATTCAATTTTTTTGTATTTAATTTAATTTTTGGTGTATTTTATTTCATTTTTATTTCTTTATGTTTTATTAAAGTTTTCATATCCTCATATTCTTTTATTTCATGTTTTATTTTGATCTATACTTTCATTTAATTTTTATATTTTTTTATAGTCTTAATATTTTTTTGGATTTTTTTTATATTTATTTTATTTTATTTTATTTCTTTAACTATATTTATTTAATTAATTTGTTTCTATATGTGTATGTTATTTAAATTATTTGTATTTGTTTCAAATAATTATCAGTGGAAAGGCTCTCAATTTTATATCTCGGTACTAAAATACATATTGCTAACCTCTTCTTTTCAGGCGGATGATGTAAATGCAAGGAATAATTTTCTGCAAGGAAACTTCTTCAATCGCAAAAGGTATTTATTGCACAAATTAATTTTGCTAGTGAATTTAGATACATAAAAACCTCAATCAAAAAAAAAAAAAAACACCCGACAGTACATTTTTACTCCTTTTTTACACTTGTTATGTTGTCAGGGAAATTTTTGATTGAAAATCTCCGCTGTTGTTGTGTATCAAATCAAAAGTTGGTTTACTGTTGTGCTTTGATATATGTGTATGTATATCCTTGTACGTGACTGATCAGTTAGGAGGGAATAAAATGTTTTTTTCCCTTGCAGTTTTGGAAAATCAAAGTAAACTTACATTGTAAATGCTTTAAATCAATTGTAAATTACTAAATTTCACTCAAATTTTATTTGAAGTTAATTCTAGATATCTAGATATTTAAAAAAAAAAGGAAATTAATTTGGGGTCGGCGTTATGTGCTAATTTAATTTAAATTTTATTATTTTCTAACAATTTGTACTATGCATAATAATTATTTCGTATTTGCATAATTTTTAAAAGAAAAGTCAGTGTTAACGTGTGTTTTTTTATATAAATGATTTTTGAATTATAATTAATAGTAACACAATTGTTTGGAATCCTTTTATTATTAAGGAATTCCAAAAATATATTAGAAATTGCTTTCATTAATGACCCAACGTCCGGGGTCATATGTCCGGAACGCTAATTTATACAATTATAGTTGCATGGGTGGTGCGGATCTACTCATATAAGGATATAGAAATGTAGAAGTGTTGAAGGACTTGTCTCAAGCATATAAAAGTAACTTCATTAATGTATTTCCAACCATTCCTTTTTTTTGTTGCTCCGTGGGTGTTGTTGATGGCAATTTATTTCCTATATGTCCGTGTGCGCGGTTTCTAGCTAATTCCACCACCATACCTACCATCTTTCACCTACCCGTCGACAATGAATTTATGAATGAGCACACAGCCACTCTCAAGTATTGTTTTATGCATTTCGGTTCCATTTTTTTTATCACCCAACACTGTGTCATTGTCTTGTCGACTTGACTTGCAGAGTTGCAAATAACTGACAAACGATAAGTATGCTGGTTGGCAGGTTGACTGGTTGACTGGCTGTCTGATGTTTGTTGTTTGTTGTTTGTCATTTGTCGTCAAGGGAATGAAGTAGCGACTGAATTAAGCATACATATATATAATATGTCTGCCTGTACCGTGAATTGCTTCACATTCATAGGCGCATTCCTATACAATTAGTAGGCATTGCAAGCTTTTGCGCATACTCGCATTTACCCAAATGCATTCAATGTTGTAGCCATGCATTTAAGGTACATTTTCAGTCAAAGTCATAACAGGTGAAGCGGTGTTGGGGGGACTCTCAGGGGCAAGGTTCTCAATTATACTACGTCATGTTATGCTGTATTGACTACTGCAGTGAATGACTTTTGCTTGAGACAGGCTTTTTGATACTTTTATTCTCCTATTTTTCTCTTTTTTCCTTTTGTTTATTTTATATTTTTTTTTCACCCTTTTAACGGTGTTGTTTGCCGCTGCACTTTACACACTCAAGTACTTATCCAATCTTGACGTACTCGGTAGCCGAGCGTACGCGCACTTGAATGAAAATGCAAAGCAAATGTTGTTGGCTGGTGTAAGTGGCAGACAAGCAGACACAGTAGCAGTTTCAGACGTATATTAATGTACATTTCATATGTACATATGTATGTGCAGGTCTATGAAATTTTTATTTACATTTATACCTATAGTGCAGGGAATGCAGCAAGGATTTTTGGGTTTCTTTTTGTGTGAAATTTTTATTTTAAAAATTTATGTTTAAATTATTTTTTAAAACAACTTAAGGCTGTAAGGTAGTCTGCTTTAGATGCTTTCAATGAAGCAATTTTTTCTTAAATCTATTCTAAAACTATCTAAGAATATGTCTTCCAAATTTCAGTGGCCAATTCGACATATTTTAAAAGCTAGTGGCCGAGCGTCGAGCAGTTTCGAATGCTCGGATAGAGATAGTAAAAACAATATACATATATTCGATAAAAAATATTAATATTAAATTATCTTCGATTTGAACAAAAAAAGTTGGACCAAAGTATTTTTTAAATTTTTTTTTGGAACTTTAGTGATTTTTTTTCTAACGTCGAAAAAATGCGGAATTTTCCAACATCTGCGGTTATTTTTTAGTTCATATAGAAGAGATAATCATAAAAAAAATCGGTTAAACTGTTTTTTGAAGCTTAAATATTGTGCACTATTATCTGAAAGTTTCGTTTACCGCAATAACTTTCATCCCTTTCAAAAAAATTGCTGAAAAAACGACTTTTTCGGGTTCTAAAGGAGACTAATGGCTTAATGCGAAAATTCTTTTCTTCAATTCTTCTCTTATTCTTCATTGGCGTTGGTATTCTTTATGCGACTATGACCGAATTTACAATGGTGCACCAGACTTTTTTACTTTTTGGCGCTAGTTGGAAATACCAAGGTAAACCAGGCAGCTCTCCACTTGATCCAGCCAATGAAATGGAGGTATTCCTCTTACTCTGCTTTCACCGGCTGGTACTTCATCGAAAACATTCAAAGGTGGAGTGTTTTGTTGCTCCAATAGATGGTATAACGTATGTTTTTGCACCAAAAGAATGTAAAGCTTCCTTCACCGATTCGTCGGATGTCAGCAATTTTACACTCTTTTACACGATCGCACCTTGTCTATTTAGCTATATATTCTGCCATTAAATTCATTATTCATTGCAATCACAGCACCTGTAAGGAAATTTCAGACAAACTCTCTTATGTAAACGAAACAACCGTGGTTTGGATACTCGGCATCACAGGAAATGGCGATATTACGACGAGCTAGCAAAATTGGCTACAATTCTAAGCAAGATAAACTCTGCACACGGTGCGAACTTAACTCTTTCCTCTGCAACATTCCTACTAAGATCGACCTTCACCAGCAACACTAATAGCAGATGGCTGGATGAAACCGCAATGTGACCAGGCTGATCAGAACATTAACCGTTAAAATAAAATCTAAATCTCTAAGGGCTGGATGAGCTAATTCTCTAGCGACATCTTTTGTCACGTCTGCTTCCCTCTAAAAACAGGTAGCATTTCCTAGATAATTTCTGCTTTGACTGGCTTGCAAATATAGCGTCAGCAAGTGTCAATAATCTCGTCTGTTTCTTTAAACAAACCAAGTGGTTTCAGCATTTCGAAATGTGAGAGGAATCTCTTCTATCACTCCGATCGCTTCTTTGAGAGACAGATAATTTTTTTCTCTCCACTTCAGTTCGGCCTTTTCCATATTACCAGCATGTCAAAAAAATTTAAAAATAATACGACTTCTATTTAACCATTTCATTGAGCATATATTGAAGCATAAAAAAATATTCTTTAATTATTATTTTGTTTCGAAATGGCGGTGATAGAGTCCATTATATTTAATCCACGTTTTTTGAAAAGTGTCCACGGGAGGACCGATTTCTTCTAGAACAGAAAAGCAAAAAATTTTATTATCTATAAACTATGGTCTTCGAAACTACGTACGGATTTGTTTTTTTAAACAAAATTTTGTGAAAGCGGCACACTTTTTTTTAAAATATCGATTTTTGACTAAAAATATGCACTAAGTTATTAAAAAAGTTTAGATTTAATCCAAAAACGGCTACGCATTTGCAAGAACATGTATTTGTGAAGCTACCAACAAAATTTCAGATAAATCGATGCAATAGGCTCCGAATAATCTGTCCTCCCAGTTTGGAAAATGTGATTTCGAATAAAAATAATCATAAAAAGTTCAGCTGTTTGAAATATTTTACCACTTTAAAAGTAATTGCATATCATTTATGGGATCCAAAGGTGCCCTGTAAGAAAAACATGACGCTTTCCAGAATCCTAGAGTGACTTGACCCCTTAATACATTTATACATGAAGTCAATCTTTTTGCTAAACTCTACCAATCCGGCTACGCCGCGAAAACCAACAACAATTTGCTGCATTGTTAATGATTTTGACTGTCGCATACCGTAAAGTCTCTATATTTACATCAACTTAATTTAGCTTAGTCGTCGCCGGTTTTTGTTATCCTTTATTTGTTGGTTATATAGTGAGCTTTTCCAACGTTTCTAGCTGTTATACTCCTCTTCCCTCTTCTCTGTTAGCACTATTTGTATTTGCCATTTAATGTAAGGACATTAAATGTAGTTGTAAACATTACAAGTACTCTTGTTGTTCTTCTTTGCTTGCTCGTATTTTTGTTTGGTGCATTACACTCAACTCTTTTAAAACCCCATTTCATTCTTTGCTGGGAAAACAAAGGGAAACAGTCTGCTTTTCTGCACCTTTTCATTCTAAAAAAATTAAAAAGAGTCTGGCTTGGCTTTTTATTGAATCGAACTTCATACTTAATATGCATGCAGTCATGTACTTAAATACATATGTAAGCGTGTCTTTTGCTCACTACACACGGCTTTCGTTCGTTATTACATACATACGCCTCTAGTAAGGAAATAAAACTTTACTCGTAGACGCAGTAGGATTTATAAACGGCCTAAATCATATATTATTAATATACATTTATTTTGATTGAAAAAAAAAAACAAAAAAAAAATAGTTGAACAAAAGCATACATATAAACATATCCCACAAAATTTATTTTTAAATTTTTTATTTAATGAAAGCTTATTTAAACTTATAAAAACGTTCTTACACGACTTTTAATTCTACATTTTTTAAAAAATATGTAAGAAAAAATGGCAAATTTAAAAATTCAAAAAGTTGATTTAGGCCATTTTTTACATTTTACCACCAGTAATACTGTTTTCGCGCCTAAGTATATACCTCTTTTTTGTTAAATTTTTCGTTTCTTATTTTAACTTTTTATTTTTCCTTTTTCCTTTTTTTTTTAAATAAATTTCTTTCTTTTCTTTTGCTTTTATTTAGTTGCTCTGTTGTTTCTTCTTTTTCAACTTTGATTGTGCCTATGTGTCTGGTGCATTTTTATACATCGCAGTCGCGTCATATGTTGAAACTAT